AGGGTCACTCCTGGATGCATGACACTGTGCAGCAACTGAGTGCTCACTCTAAAAATGCAGTGATTGGATAAAGGTACAAACCCGAGCTTTGGGGATCTATCATTTTTCACTTCTTGTCAGTGCTACAACTTCTCTTGTAATTGCAGAAATTCCTAAGTCACTACAGTGAAAGTCCCATGTGGGTGGTGTCTCTGCTCCTCAGGCAGCTGAGTGACTGCTAAACTAGATGAATCTCAGAGGCCTTCCTGATGATCCCACCCCAGTCTGAATTAGGACCACAATATTTAGCCCAAAGCCTAGCACGTAGTAAGTGTTCAAGAAATAACTAATGGATGAAGGGACTGCCCCTCAGGCAGTATAATGGTAACTAACATTTTTATACTTTACAATTGGTATTTATATCACCTTATATGACTCTTAAGAACACCTAGCATAGTTAGCAGAACATGTATTATTTCCATTCCAAATGAGGAAACAGCCAGAGACTTATATGACCTTCTCTAGGTGGTGTGGCTCATTGTAGGCAAAGCAGAGGCTGGTATCTGGGTTCCCTGCAACGCCCCACCAGGTGGCCTCCCACATTCTGGAAAGGGAGTCCATGGCAGTTCCCTAGAAGGAATCACACTCTCAGCCACTTCCTCCTCTGCTTCTGTCACCCCCAAGAACCCAGGCAGGCCATTCTCACAAGTTTAAAGCACACCCTGCCCCAGCTGCCTTGATCACTCTTGGAGATGAACTCTTCTTTTCTGGGGATATTTGGAGGAGGCAGAAAAATGGAGGAAAATAATTTCGCTGAATTCCTGAGAGGAAACTGAAACCACTTTAGCCTCTAGGGATTCTTGGCCCTGAAAATCACTAAACTCTTTTCCTTGGATACTTGATTTTATTTTAACTCATTTTTTTTTAATTGAGGAAATGATTTAAATTTTTTCCCCCCATCTACCTCCCCACTCACGGGTACTTGATTTTAAAACATCTAAAACCATTTTTTTGGAGGAAATGTAAAGGTAGATCAGATGACCGTAGGAACTTACCCTGTCTTGTGGTCAATGCCCTGGATTCTTCTACTTATGGCCTCCACCCTCTCATGCACACCTGCCTCTAATTTATTGACTTATTCCCACCCACCCCCCTTTTGGGGCCCAAAGGAGGGTCCCTTTAAAATTCAGGAGCATTATACTATTTCAGATGAAAAGCAGTAACTGAGCTCTTTTTAGAAGAGAAAGGGAATTTTTTCTTAACTCGGGTTTTGAGAGCTAGTTTATTTTGTCAAAGATGCTGAGTATTTTATTTTTTTCAAGAAGGTGACTCAATGTGTGCAAATACAAAGTATTTTATTTTACTTTTTTTATGGTCTTAGAAGGAAGAGAAAAATTCCTGGAATTTGATAACTTGTACACCTTAAAATCTGAGCTTGGTTTTCTATAGGGAATCCTTTGGCTGGTAACCAGGGGGTGGATCTTCAGGAAGGCCCTCTTTGAGCTCTGGGAGGTAGCTGCTCTCTTCTGCTTTAACAAAAGTTCCCAAGCTCTGTTTCCTCCTTGTCTGTAGAACTAGTAAAACTAAACTTTTTTCTCCCAAAGATAGCAAGGATCGTTAAAAGAGGTGACACGATACAGGTTGCCTCTTCTAAGGAACAATTTTTGATTTCAACGTCAATAATTTAGCCACCTGAGGTGCTGGATTAAGTCTTTGAGGAACCAAGGCTGAGCTTTCAAAAGGCCTACCCTACTCCTGTGTCTGACACCAGGTCTAGAATAATCTTAAACTGAAAACCTGCTGCCACTTTTTAAAACTACCTATTTACACACTATACTCAATTCTAGATTCATTGAGGCTGAGTCTGCAGGCTCTGTGGAATATTTGAGAATTACTGGAAAGAGCATCATTACTTTGGGGGCAGACTTAGTGTAGTTCCGTAACTTTTGTAATCTTCTATTTGATGAAGAAAACAATGTAGTTTCATTGACACAAAAGGAAGCCTACAGCCAGTTCCTTGAAATCAGCAACCAAACAACAGGCTGCAATGTTCTCATTCATTCTATTCGCATAGAATGAGCCCTGGTCTATTCACTCCCATTAGATTAAAGCAGACGCCAACATTACCAAGATTCCTACTCAGGCCCATGCATAAATACCAACCACATCCTGAAGCCCTTGCTTGGTGGTCCGTCACTGACAAGCCAGTCTGTCGGCAGTTGGGCGTGGGAACCGTCTTAGATTTTGGAAACCTCGCCCAGGGCTTCTGCTGTAGCCACGGGTGGGTCGCGCCCGCTGTGACCACCCCAAATGCAACTAACTCTGGGTACCCGCAGGCAAGATCGAGCCTTGCCTTTTGGGCTTGTTTCTCAGTTTCCCCGTGCGCCTCCTCCCCAGGTATGGGACCTGCCCTGTGAAAAATCTGCGGCCTTGTAAATGCCTCAAAGAACCAGCCCGTCTCCTGCGGACGTTGCGCAGCGATGCTCCCCTTCCACGGGCGCTTCCGGGGCGCACGGCGACCAGCTCGGTCCCGGCCGCGGACCCGCCG